AGGGAAAGACTCAAATGAGGAATCAAACACTGAAAGGAAATGATTTTACTAAAAATGTTACTCTTTGTCTAGAAAGTGTTGAGTCATGACTTTATGTTCTCTTAGGATTTAATTGAATTAAAACTTGATGTTTATATATGGCATATGAGTAAAACATTGCGCTTTCCCCACTTTGTCATTTATGATTTATGACTTGTGCTGAGATTTTCCTGTACATAAAATTGTAAACAGTTTACAGAGGTCCCAGCATTCTTAGAGATCAATGCATTAATTTTTCCATTAAAAAAATTTGGCAGCTGATAATAGGCAGCCCTGTGACCTGGTGGTTAAAGAAACCAGACCTCACATGACCCACTGTGATGTTCAAGTTTCAGCCTCAGAAGCTTAAAAAACACATCAGGCAAATGTCTGTCTATGTCCACATTCCGAAGGAGTGAAGAAATAGAGGAGAAGGGATTGTAGTGTGACCATCCCGCATTGAGAAGGGCTTTCTTCCTCTCCCTCACTTTGTCTCTGTATCTCTCTGGCAAGTTCGTGTGCCCCTTGGAAATTTTAAAAAGTAATAATAAAGATTAGCAACTGATAATCCAAAAAAGTTGGAATTACCAGACTTGCCCACAGCTTATACAATACTCATGACTAGGACTATTTCCTGATGCTGAGGTCGCCTTGCTTGGCACCACATTTTATTGCTTCTATTATTACATTCAGTTTCTATACTTTTTAATAAAGGCATACTTCTTTTATAAATGAGAGGAAAGACAGAGATAGGCAGCATCTCCAGCAGTGCCTTGAGGCTGTGGTCTGTTGGCAGCTTTGCCATGCCCTAGATCAGGAACACACATAAGCCTGGCAAGCTCAGGGAGGTCTGCAGATGTGAACTCGGATCCTTCCCTTGGTCATCTTGCAGAGCTTCTCATTTCACCACTGTGCCATGATCCAGCCCCTTCTTTTTTGATAATTTTACTAAACTACTTTTATCCTACTTGTTTTGAATTTTAATTTCATAATGAGGTGTAATTGGTTATACTTTACTTAAGGAAATGGATCATTTATTCTTCTATTCCATGAGAGTTTTTTTTTTAAATCATGACATATGTGTATAGTGTCCATATTATATACAATACTCCCCTTACCAGATGGAAATATTAGGTTGTCGGGAAAGTCATGACCTATCTTTCTGTTTTTCTATGCAGGAATGTGTCATGATTTTCCTGACAACCTAATATGTTTTGACATCCTCAGTACAATGCCTAAAACCATGGATAACATTGAACCCTGTACATGCTTTGTAGTAGTATACTTATATACCGGCGATAGAGCTTAATGTATAAATTAAGTGCAGCAAGAGATCAGTGACAGTAATACAATAGAACACATAACAATATACAGCAGTGAAAGTTATGCTAATGTGATCTGTCTCATAATACTGAACTGCAGTTAACTTGAACCATGGAAAATGCAATCACAGATAAGGGGGGAATTCCTGTGCACACATTATGTGCATAACTCGATATTTATGCTCACCTGTTTAGGTAACAGGAAGCAGGTTTGCGTATGAGTGTTTTTGTGACTGGCTTTATTCACTCATGTAAATTTATATTAAGGTCTCACATCATTAATAGGTGCAACTGAGATTTCTAAATCTCAGGATATTTTTGATATATATATGAAACAGTGTAACTACATCCATGTTCAGTATGGATGGCGACTTACAAACTTAGACAGAGAGGCTGATTATACAGATTGGGCTGGGGAAAAACAACAATGTTAAATCAGCTCTCTGGGGCCCAGCTAGGTGGCATGGTGGTTAGGTGCTGGACTCTCACATGGCCGACCATGGTTCAAATCATGGCCTTAGTGGCTTGTTTTCTCACTCTCTCTTTGTCTCTGGTGCATACATAAACCCTATAGCAAATTAAATAATAAAAAGAAATAAGTAATTCTAAAAAAAAGTTTTAGAAGACTAGTCTGTTTCAGACCTTGAGTTCAGAATGCCAACTGACTGTGAGAACTTAACAAATGAAGAAATAAAAAATTAAAAAGAAAAAAACCTTTGAAGCATATGATGTGAGCATTTAAACTAAATTATCAAGTTGACCGGGTGTCATGGTGGTTAAGGTGCTGGATTTCCTTACTGCCAATAGCAGTTCACATCTTGGACATGGCGGCTTACCTTTTCACTTTCCCTCTCTCTCTCATTCTCCCTCTCTCTGTCTCTCTCTGGTGAATGCACATGCCATATAGCGTATTAAAAAATAATAAAATAAATCTTTACCAAAAAATTAACTAACTATCAATAAAATAAATCTTTACCAAAAAATTAACTATACAGAAAAATGGTGTATATAACAGTGATCTGAAATTTAAAGCAGATGTTAATTCTGTTTTTCTTTTCAGATTTTAAGAAT